CCGGGCCTGCTCTGTGGGACTGACATTTCAGGTAAAAAGGTGTGGAACAAAGTGAGCGTTTCTTTCAGGCCTGCAGTGTTTGATAGACTCTCACACAGCACAAGGCTTTCTGCAATGCCCCTGAACCAGGTTTGTCATACCATGCTGTCAGATTATTGTGTTTTCTTTTTTTAATAGAGGTTTTCTCCATTGTGAAAACTGTTTTTTTGGGTTGTTTTTGTTTTATTTTTTTAAATGACAAATAAAGATTGAAAATGATGATTGGGACAAAATGATTGGGAAGTACAATCCATGTAGGGGAGATAAAGGAATGCCGATCTCTCGTAGATAGCATTTCCCCACAAAATCTGGAGCCGTGTGCTGGTTTTCCTGCTTTTCCTGGGAAGGGTTGGGTCCTTTTGTGGAGTCTGACACCTTTGCTGCAGCTCCGGAGTCACCGAACGCACGGCTGCAAATCAAGGGACAGGTCTGCATCCCGGACTGGAGTTCAGGTGATAAAATCATAGAAACATAGAATGGTTTGAGTTGGAAGGGACCTTAAAGATCATCAAGTTCCAACTCCCCTGCCCTGGGCGGGGACACCTCCCACTACAGCAGGTTGCTCAAAGCCCCGTCCAGTCTGGCTGTCTAATTGTGTGATAATCTAATTGTGTGATAATCTAATTGTGTGACGAGCAGAGGCGGTGCGAGTGATTTGGTGAAGCAAGATGGCATCTTGGCGGTGAGGACCCTGAGGACGACCCAAAGCATAAACCCAGGCTTCGTTGTGAGGCAGCGGTACCTCTGCCAGTCAATTGGCCATTGCTTGTTGTGCCACAGCCTGGAAAACTGTTACTCACCTGTTGTTCAGGGGAAACACCCCAGGAACGTGCTTTTTGTTCTTTTCCAGGGACGCCAGGAATCACCCACACTTCCCCTGGTGGCTTCGTCATTTCACCCTCTGGATGATTTAGATTATTAAAGGTTACACCTATTTTGAAATCTTCCCACACTCTCAATGTTTGACTTCAATATTTGTACAGCGGATCTTTTGCAGCTCCGCAGCTAGAAAAATTATGCTAATTTTTCAGTACACAGAAAAAATGTAGCTCTTGACATTCTGGCTGATTTGCCAGACCTTTGGGAGCATCAGTGCTGCCCGCGTGTGTGGTGTTTGAATGTCAGCTCTTTTTTAGAGAGATTGGTGGTGGGCAAACCATGAGCGCAATAACACAATAACTGTCCCAGTGAGCGTTCTTTTTTCCCAAACACATTTGGAGCTGTTCTGCTTCCCCGTTCCTGTTACTCCATGGGCTGTTGGAGCAGCCAGGGATGTCAAAGAGCGACGGAGTGACACTCACACCCACACCACTCTCCTTGGGATAATTTTTATACTTAGGGCAGCTGCCTCCGGGGGCAGGTACGTGGAAATCAGCCCTTCTGCTCTGGGAGAAGCTTCTGCTGAATGGGCCGGGAACCTAACCCTGACTCCTTTGTCTCCTTCTGCAGGAAAGCACAAGTTTCTGACCGGAATGCTGACAGCTCTCCTGCAGCAGCCCCAGGAGGTCTTAGGGACCTCTTTGCCCCTCATTGTGTGGTTTAGGGACCTCCTTGCCCCTTGTTCTGTGTTTTACCTGCAGCTTCGTTCTCTTCATCGCTCCAGTCCCCTTCATTTCCACAGGCACAACACCCATCCTGTGACGAGCTGAAGGTCTGCTTTCTCTGTCTGTGAAAAACAGCGTGGTGGGCAACGGCCCCGGGTGCTCACCTTGGCTCTTAAAGGTGATTTCTGCAGTAATTTCAGCTGCTTCTGTTAGACCACACACCAAGTGGTGCCAGGCAGCACTGCACGCCTCTCCTCTGAAATCCCATTAAGGTCCCTTAAAATTGGGCACCCCACAGGCAAGACTTCCAGAATGACCCGTCCCTGTGGAAATGGAGGCCTCCACGTTTGGGGTTATTAGTGGGGCTTTCTGGCTTCAGCCTCACTCTTCTGAGAGGCCTTTTTTTTTTTTTTTTTCAAAAGAAAACCTAAGCGCAGACATTTCCCCGGGGTTTGGTGAAGGCTCTAGTTGATCGGAAGTTCCCAGCGCCTGCTTCCGAGGGGAATTCTTATTTTGCCATGGTGCTTTATTTTCATTTTGTGTTGCGTTCAAATTCATCTGCCCTTTATCTGAGTAAAATTCCTTTCTGGCTTTGAGGGCAAGCGTTTGCTGGGCAGCCAGAGCTTTGCATTACCTGCATTACCTGGGGGATGAGCAGTGCTGCCCCAGCAGCCAAGCTGGCTGATGGTAATACTCATTTACTCCGCTATTTGCTTAACCTCCACTGAAGAGCCGAGGCTGAAACACTGCCCAGGAAAACAGAAAAGAAATTACATATGTGATGGCGCTTGAAGACCTGAATCACAGCACCAGATACACGCTCTCCTCCCGGTCACTGAGTTCAGGGGAGAGGAATTTGGCCTTTGGCCGCAGAGGCTGCGATTCGATGCTCTTGCCTTGACTTTTATGAGTGTTTGGGAAGCGCTTGAATTAGAGGAGCGGAGCATGTCGCGTCTGGGAAGCGTCGCAGCGAGGTGAACCATCGGCAGCAACACTGGTGATGAAGAGATGATTCTCGGCATCTGAAGGGCTCTGCTCGTTTTGCCAACAGCAACAGTATGTAAATGTAATGACCAACCCATATTTTGAGGCAGTAGCTCCTCCAATTACAGCCTGATTGCTCTGCATCTTAACTGAGAAAGTGACAGTCACTTAAAGCAGGAAATATTGTGGTACTTGCCCTTCACTATCAATCTGGGCGGCAGAGCCGTGGCAGCGCGGGCCGAGAGGTGGCCGGACGCGGGAAAAGCAATACAGATAATGCAGCACATCCATATCCCCGCCACCACATCGGAATCATTGACTGCAAAATAGCAGAATTTGAGAATATAAAATAAACCAAGTGGATAAAGGCTTCTGCCAAATCACATTAGGGGAACATATCTGTGAGGGATACAACGCTCAGATTATTTTGCTAATAGTCACATTACTGCTCCAAATGCATTTTTTCCTTCAAAGTAGGAATTGGGGGGTCAGAGAAGAAAACTGCAGTGCCTCCAGCCCTTTTTCCAGATGGATTTGGGTCATTTCCAATGCGTTGCCTTCCAAAACACCCCGTAGCAGAGGAGGAGAGGGGGTGCTTTGGCACAGGGCTCTGCCACCGGTGGCACCAGCCCCCCCGGGTGATGGTTTCAGTGGGGACGGGGACCTCTGCTCCTGTGGGCATCTGCTGCCCCCTCTGTGGTGCCTGGTTTGGATGGGGAGCCCGGGGACGTGGGTCGGGCAGTGCTCTTGCCCGCTCCGCTCACCGTGTTCTGTCCTTATCTCTCTCCTCGCTCCGTTTACCCACCCTTCCTCCTTCTGGGCGCCAAGACACATAACCTTTTAGTAATAATCTGAAATTCAAATACAAAGAATTGACTCCTGAACTGCCCTAATATTTGACAAAGGTTTTAAAATAAAATAGGTTTTTTCCTGCGTCCCGTCATTGGCCTGGCAGCTGTGTGTGTGTGCTAGGGGTGCTGAGAGAGAGAATATTAACAGAATGAAAAGGTCAGAGTTATATAAAAATCCTTTTAAAACTAAATAGGCCTGCCGTACTGAATTCCCCACAGACAGGCAGAGGTGAGGAACCGAGAACGTCTGGGGCTCTGGCAGGTGGAGTTGTGCGTCTGTGAAACGCTTTCCAGAAATAAAGAGAACCCCAGAGGAGCCTGGGCATGCAGGGACCATGGCCACCCTCTCTGCTGGCGGGGGGCCCACGGTCGCCGCTCCCTGAGCCCACGCCGATGCCTGGCACCCACCACACCACAGCCAGCCCCTACAAACCCCTCGGCAAAACATCTGTGTGCCAGGAAACCCTGGGGAGAGCTCACCCCCTCGGAAAGGCCACGGGGACGAGCCCAGCACACTTGGGACCATGACAGACACACACCTAGGGGCTTCCAGCAGCAAAGGAGCCACCATTTCTGCAAGGGGCAGCCAAACAAAACGTGAAACCTTCTTTGCCCAAGATCAGGTAAGACAGCAATAAACAAACTGGTTGGCCATTGGCAGGAAACCTCTGCTCGGGCAAGACCAGCTTCCAGGCAGAAGGGTCTCAAAAGGGAATGGGCAGAAGCATCGCTGCTTGGACCCTGGAGATCTCCTTGGGGAGAGAGCAATACCCAACAGGGTAATATTAATTACTAATATCTGGGAATTTTGAATTACTCAGAAGATACAAAAGGAAAAGTCCCAACATCTGGAGGAGCTGGAGGATGAGGCAAGAAATACCGTGTGAGAAACATGGTGGTATTAACTGTCACACCAAATCCCTAAATCCCCTGTCCCGAGTCTGGCATTTGGAAAAAGCCGTGGTCCTCAGAAGAGCTCCCTCCCTCCTCGGATTCCTGCCCACAAAAAGGAACCATTACCTGCAGGAAAAGTTACACTCTCCTGCCATACCCAGGTGTGTACAAGCTCTGACAGAAACGCGTCTGGAGATTACGGGGCACTTCAAAGTCCTTTAACCTTTCCAGGGATCACTAGAAGGAGAGTTAAATCAATTTTCCAGTTAGAACTGCAGAGCCAGCAGCTCCCCTCACCGGCTGGGGCGGAGCGCACACGTGGTGCCAGTGGCAGCGTGGGACCTGGAGCTGGGCTGTGTCCATGGTTTCGCATCGTTCCCGACAGCCTTCAGATGACTTGTCAACAACTTTTGGTGTCTTCCCTCCTGGCAGCACCACCACTGACTCAAGCCACTGGTTCACAGCGTCCCTCGCAGGTGCAAGAGAGTGAAAAGGGAAAGAAAACCAGCAGTGTTAGTAATGGCTGTGAAAATTTAATTTTTATTATCTGTTGACTGTATACAAAACACCATTCTGCATAGTGACAACTCCTTTGTTGTACAGTTGAGTGCACAGCACCAAACCAGTGCTGAGGAGGAAGACGGGCCATGGAGAGGGCAGCGATGGCAGCGCACGTCACCACGAGGCCCCGCGGCCCCGGTGGGACGGGGAGGATGGAGAAGGACCTCACCACCATCGATGTGCTGGGAATACGGGGTAACAAGCACCTACCAATGAAACAAAGGAAGAGTGAGGATGAAGGGAGAAAGCAGAACTAATGCACCCCACGCACCATTTCCAGAGGGATTTAGAAGTTTTACAGAGGTGGCTGAGAAGGACCCATATTTTTTCAAACATTTTCATTTTTTAAAACTGTTAAAATTTAATGATAAATAACAGAATCCCACAAATCTTTAGGGGCAAAATGCTCCACATTTATTTACATATGAAATGTGTTTAATACAGTTGTAATGGACATAGTGTATAGTAACATCTGACAGCAGCAAGACTCTTAAGGAACCGAACAATTACTACCGCGTACCATGCAGCTATCTATATATACACAAGTTGTTTTAAAAAAAAGTACAAAAATTTTTTTCAGGGATACATACAAGGTATAAAATGCAAAAACAAACCAAAAATATAACTCTCACAGAGAACTATATATGAAAGGGACAGGATGGTACCTCTCTGTACTTTGTGAAAGCGTAATTAGTGATATTAACACAGTCTGAAACGGCTGAAGGAGCTTCACGCGGTCCGTGTGGGAGCTGAAGGCCCCTGTGACCCCCCCGGGCCAGAGTGGGAGCTTCGGGAGGGCTGTGGCTGCGTGTGACACCGAGCACCAGAACGTTTGGCATTAGCACAGGGAGCTGGGATGTACCAGCCCCTCTAGCAAGGGAATGCTATTTCCTTTCAATAGCCAGAGATAAAGGAAAATACATAATGCCGTGTACTCACTTCTATATAGTGTTTAATAAATTACATGACAAAAAAACATCATAATTATAAACCTATTCCTCTAATTACATCCTATTTGTTAAATCCAGAGCAGCCCAGCCCTTTTGTAACAATTTGAGCTTTGATCACAAGCACCTGATGGCCTAAAAAAATCACTTCATGATAGATAGAGTTGTGCAATTATACTTTTCAAAAGTACTTTATCATCCTAGGGGGTCTGCACCCCTTCTGGTGCTGCCACCTAAAACCAGCACTGCATGTGACATATGCAGCCGTGCTTCTTTTTTTTTTTTTTTTTATAATTTTTTATTTTAAAGATTTATGCCTCGCTTATTTAACAATAACACTGGGAATTAAACTTTGTGGATTATGCTAGTTTAGTTGAGGGGGGAGAATGAAATTCTTGTCTTTAACAAGGAGTCTAACTAGCCGTGCTTTTTTTTTTTTTTTTTTTTAATAATATATATATTTAAGAGAAAGTTTAAAAGCTTCCTTAGACATTTAGAAGCACAAGTTCTTAGAATTTAAAATCTCCCCTTACCTGGCCTGCTCTCCCCACTCTCCTCCAACGGTGCCTCTCCTGATGCACGTCCATTGGCTAAGCCTTCCCCCAGAAGCATTCAACTAAGACACAGTTTACGAGAACCCAAGGAACTGCCCCCCATTCAGAACTCTGTTTTAAAGAAACTTACTAGGAAGAAAAAGAACAGAAACAAAACCAGAAGAACCCAAATTTTCCACTAGATACCAATACAAACACGTAACAAAAAGTATAAAAGTTATTAGTTTAAATATATACAAACTCTTTTCAACTCAAATACTGCTTCAATGGTTTGAGGGCACAGACAATGAGGTGAAGGGCACACTTTTATGTGGAATATATTGCAACAGCCTGACCAGTACTGTTAACACTGTTATACCTTGAGCTTTCTGTAGCAAAGATGTCCTTAGTGTTCCAATGTGGAGAGAGATTTCTGCATCCCAGATGACCCCCATCACTTTTCGGCTGAACTCATTCTTTTAGACTTAATGAAGGCCATGCCGTGTGTTCTCATGTGGGTGTTTAAGGCCGCTTCAGTTTCGAACGTCTTTGCGCACACTTTGCACCTCCTGTCTGAGGCCAAGCTGTCGGACGACTCCTCCTCCTGGCTGGGTTTGTTCTCCTGCTGGTTGTCCTCCCCGGAGCCGTTCTGTTTCGACACCGGCTGGGGCTCCTTCAGCTTGTGCACGATGAAGAGGTGCCTGGAGAGGGACACGTGGGACGTGTAGCAGAGTCCGCACTCCCGGCACTGGTAGGAGGAGCCGTCGGATTTGTGCTGAGGAATGTGTTCGTGAAACTGGAGGAGATTTTCTGTGGTAAAGCCACACACAGCACACTTGTGAACTTTAAAAACATTTATCTTTAGCTTCTTCAGCGGCTGAGTGATTGCACCTCGCGGAGGCCTGAACTCCAGCACGGGTTCTTCCAATTTACGCTTTGGACTAGGAACCTAAAAAATGCCATAAATGGTATATCAGGTAAGCAAAACCACACCGTTCTTTTCATAACTATGTCTGACTTGCAAACCTTAAAAAACTTCCTTTTGGTAGATTCCAGCACAACTCTGATAAATGCAATATTTGAAATAATACAAGCAAATATATATTGTACATGTTGGAAAACCGGGGGTTTTCTTTACTATAAACTGCACATAGAATTTGTTTTGTCAGCTCTGATAGAGGTACAGTATCTCCTACACTGTATAAACCTGAGTAGATATTTGCCAGAGCAAGCACACACCCCTGTGAGAATCCAGTTGTGCACAGACTGCAGAGTATCAGCCCAGGAACTTTTAAAGCACTACATTCTGGAACTGCGTTTTAATTACTTAATATTATTTCATGCCTGAGATCTGACTTGAAAGATTATCTCCTGGTTGCTAGTAAACAAACTAACATATAGCCAAGGCATGAATCAACATGCACGATTTTTAAAACTAATTGAACTGATCATTTTTTATATTTTCTTTATTCTTCTGACATGAGTATTTCTCGAGAATCCTCTGCATCCCACGTAGCTGAGAAATGCTCTGTGATGATTACAAAGACAATGTTCATAGCTGCCATATTTTCAACACTTAAGTACGACAATGTGTTGGGCTGAAAGAGAGTCCTGTAAAGGCCAATAGGAAATTTTAAAGAACAGGTATGTTAGTGTTTCTGCTCTCAGCTCTGGACATGCTGGGTGAAATTCTGGACAGGTGAAATTCTTTATCATATAGAGCCTGGAACACTTAAAAAAGGTTGATTTCTGAACGTAACAAATCGTTTTTTTTTTTCTTTTGGGCTCCACAGAGGATCAGACATTTATGGGATCAAAATACCTGCACCTATTTAAAGACATAAACCCACAAAAATTCACTCTCAGTGACAGAACGAATCTTCTCAGTGATTACCTTTGTGTCTTCTTTTACTTCCCTTTCTTCCATATTGGCCGATTCAGTCATTTCTTTCACATCAGGGTCCTTAATGCCATGCATCAACTGAATGTGTTTCTCCAACATCAACCGCTTGGTGAAAGTCCGTCTTGAATCTGGGCAGTGCCTACATGAATACAAAGCAGATACACACAGATTCAACCACCACGCCTAACAAAAGAATATACAGAAGAATGTAAATAGGACTAGTGAATAAATCCAGACCAGAGTACAATCTATTAAAGACAGCGACAATGTTTTCCCAATCAATTGCACAGGTATTACCAGAAAATGAGCATAACTACCAAACAAAAGTAGAAGTGTTTGAGCAATTTATACTCAGAGCAAATGAGAAGTTCTCTGAAGATAATGTCCAAAATAGTACAAAGTGTGAGTCAGAATAAAACCCGGGAGCACCTGAGTTTGTTTCTGGGACCTCTGGTAACATCACCAAACTGTAATTCTGTTAGACACTCTCCCAAGTTCTCCTTAACTTAAATTCCATTGGGAAAGCAATCGCCTTCCCCGTGGGATGAATGCCAGCTCTAAACAACAGCTAATTCTGCACTCAAATCCAAATACTCTAGTACTGGATTCCTCCCCAGCTCCCTCTCCAACCCCAAACTGAGCAGCAGCACAAACTCGTCTCTCTGTGCTTTGCTCTCCCTTACAGAACCAGCTGCATCCCCTCTGAACCCTGCAGATCAGAACAGCGGGCTGTCTATTTGAGAGACCACTGAAAAACCAGTTCCCCACTGCAGAACCATCAGCCACGCTTGCTCTCAGTTCAGTGAAGTTCCAGATTTGCCCACCAAAGCCCCTAACAGACAGCAGCAGACGTCACGTACCTGCATTCTCAGCAGCCTGCTGGGGTTACACACGCAGGACAGCCTCAAGGGTTTGGGCTGCCCATCTATCTAAATACACCTGAATGAACGGCATGCTGGCTTTTACACAATCAAGAAAAGAAATTCAACTAGTAGCGTTTTTTGTTGGTTTATACTCTGTTTCTAAATAAATAAAAGTAGAACTTACGAGCATGTGTAAACCTTCCTAATGCCTTTGTGCTTGATACGATTGTGACGACATAAACTGTGGGATGAACTGAAAGATTTGTCGCATTGTCGACACGGATGTTTCTTCATTTGCTTAAAAAAAAAAAAAAGAAGAAAAATGCATTAATTAAAAAAGGTCAGTAGAAGTAATGCATGTGTCAAACCTTTTAACAACAGGAAAGAAACATGACATAACTGCTGCCTGGTACCGTGCCTCCAAGAACACACACTCCTACAGCAGGAGCCAGAGGACATGGGCCTCTTTCAGAGGTGTGTGGCCAGCGGATTATTTCTGGCTCAGAAAAGGCAGTACGAGGAGAGACTGGCTTTCACTATAACCCTTCCCTTCCCATCACCAGCCTACGTCTGCCACTCCTGACTAGGAAATCACCAGTCACCTACCAGGGAGGCGGAAAAGCACGTGGTAGGGACTGCAGCAGAACGTTACGGACACTGACACACCAACACATCTTGGAAAAGACATGAAGAAATGAGAGGAATGGTCCGATGCCAACTTGAGGGCCATCTGTTTGGGGAATTCTGCAAGTTTTATACTACACTTTGTTAGGTGGAAGGAGGAAGAAAAGGAAGGAAGCTGCAAAGGATGGAGTGGTCTCCATCCATGTCATTACAAGTGAACGTGGTGCCAAGAGCTCTAGGATCTGAAGATGTAACATCTCTCAAACTGCAGACTGTAGAGGCCCCAAGAGTGAATAGCATGGTCCTGTCCCTTAAATTCCATCAGTCCTAGAACTCACGTCTTATCAACAGGAGTAGTTTCATGCAGTCAAGTGCCTAGAAGGGAAATCAGGTTCCTTGGATTGCTTTTTCCTGCTCTAGCAGAGATCACAGTTTTCCTTCATAGTCTCAGTAACATTCTCTTTCCTGCATTTATTGGGAAACTGAAAAAAACAGATTTTATTCTACTATTCCAACTGAGGCCACTGAACAAAAGACTCAGATCAACGTCTGAAATTGGACCCTTCCTGACTCTTCTGGAGAGTCCATCCAAACCTGTCCCTGTGTTCCAAGGCACTCAATAGCAAAGATTTTCTTCACAGAATAACAGAAAGGGTCACTTGTTCTTACCTTCTGAGGAAGTGACAAATTCCTAAATAACAGAGATGCACAATAATCCATATGGACACTTTAATATGACATGAGTTGTTCTCTGGTGCCTAATATTAATAAGTAATGATAATAATAATAATAATAATAATGAAGAATTCTCAACCACTCAAGCCATACAGGAATGCTTAAGGAACTGAGAATCATCCATCTTATATTTATGCTCCGAGTGCTGAGCTTCATGCTGACGTTCATATTCTCTCTAACGGCCACACTGCCCTGAACAGCTCCAGAGCAGCCCGTGGAGATCTGCAGTGGTGATGGCACCACTGAAAGCCACCATCTACTGCCAGGTCTGGAGTGATGGCTGGAAGGTCTGTACACCTGAAGAAGCGATGTCTGGGATGGCTAAAGCAGTCAGAGCGGTTCCAGTGAGATGAGAAACCTTTCGCTATCCAGACCAACATCCCATGGAGTGCGGGGGCAGGAAAGAAAAGCTGTTCTGAAAGGTCACTCAGGCAGGTGTGAAGCAGCCCATTAGGGAAGAGGATATGGTAATTTTATTGGGGCTGGTCAACACAACGCTGTCAGAGGCGCAGCACTGTTCAGCCTGGACCTCCTCTTCACGTTTAAAGGCCAATTAAAACAAAAAGAAATCAACATATTTTTCCCTTAAATTGTTAAAGGTGAAAACCTTACAGTGCGTACACACAGAGCATGCTCATTAATGCTAATGCATTAATCAACACGTCTTGCAATACAGATTTGCAGTATGCTTATGACTGAACCACTCTGGGGAAAATTTATAAAATAAAATGGAATGTGAGGTGATGTTAGGGCTTCTAAGGAGAAGCAGCCCTGCCCTGAGCTGCAGGAGCATAAGAACAAAGAAGAATAACGATGGAATTATTATTATATTATAATTATATATTATTATTAAAGGAATTATTTGCACAAACAGAACCGAACTTGGAATGGAATGACTTCACATTTCAGGTTTAGTTCACTTCCTTGTAACTGTTATTCATTTACCTTTCCATGTTCTTTCCTCATGTGAGAGATGTAGACGTCTCTCTGAGTGAAGAGCCTGTCGCACTCCCAACAGGTCCAGCCAGGATTGGCCACTTTTTTAGGCTCCGCTTTCTTCATGGGAGACGGAGATTTCTTCTCCAACTTTTCTGTTCCATTGACAGATTTTGCATCCTCTTTGTTGTGACTGGCTGAGTTCTGAGTTGTGGGTTTAGTACTGAGAGGCAGATTTATCCCCAGGTTTGGTGGCCCCTCAACACTTTTCAGAGTTCCATGCATAGACTACAATAAAAGAGAAAAAAAATGTACAAAACTAACATAGATGTATACAGTTGTATTGACAAAACACCAAGACCCTCTGAATCAAAAGTCTTCAGTTACTCCTTTGTCATACTATTGTCAGATCACATTCTTAACTTAAAGCAACAATATTAAGCGAAGGCAAGGCCTAGCATAAAGAGAAACCAGTAACAGCACTAACAGACGCCATCCGGAGCTACAGAGAAGTGTTCCTCAGTGGCTAGACATTTTCACCAAAAAAAAAGGAGAGGTTTTAGGTTAAGTTTAAATTGCTGTTTAATAGGGAGGAAAAAAGGGCTCAAGAGGCACTTTAAGTTAAATTTAATTTCTTGCTTTACTTACCTAACATTAGCTGAGTATCCTCATTTCAAACTACAGGACTAGAGATTTCCAAGGAGGAAAGGTTTTTACTGACAAATTTTGACTTGGCACACTGGTAAATAAGACAAGAAAAGGCAACTGTGGAATGATCAGGCCACTGTATTGTTTAGGGTACATTAATATTTTATGTTGAGGCTGAGTTAAGCCCTGTCTTACCCCGAGCTCAGGTTATGACACCCTGACTCTGCCGCTAACAGTCCTTAGAGGCAGCACTGTGTAGGGCTGGTGGGGTCCCTGCACCAGAGGACAGCTGAGAGGTGCCCACCAAGCTGTTCTCAAGCACCTTGCAGCTCTCAGGGAGCGATGCCTCCTCACTGATTCACTTCTAGACTTTAGGAAAACTAACAGTAAGAAGGAAGAACTCTTCTGTCCCCTCCTTCCCCAGTGCCTGCAGCCTGTGTCACAGGCTGGTGCTACCTGAGCCTACCACAAAGGTGACCGGTTGAGGAAGACCTGGCCTTCAGCCCTGTTGGAGTTCTCTATGTGAAGGTGGACACACCAAGAATGAGTCAGTGGGCTCTGGGCCAGCAAAGGTGACTGCAGCCCAGACTCAACATGCTGATGAACAGGGATCCCGCTCTCAAGGGCTCCTTTGCACCTACAAGACTAGCCATCCCAAAGGTGACTACTCTTCCTAAGGGTAATCTCAGAAACCAACCCCACTCAGTGCATTCTCCATTCTGAGAATGTAAGAATACAACTCTGATACTCCTCTATGATACTTCATTATGAAGTTCCTTCCTAAATCCTGTGGCTTTTGGGACTACACACTGCCTCGACAGGAAGTATTAGCCTCAGCTGTAGAACGTGCTCTTCTATTTAACAACTTTTAAAAGAAAAGCCAGTAATTAAAAAACCTAAAATGTTATTAAAATTCAAAGCACACAGGCCTGGCTCTAAGAATGAACTGATGCTGTGCAGTAGAGGAGGGGGCTGCCTTTTAGGCAGGATGAGAGCCATGGGGAAATGAGACATACATTTTGCCACAAAGAACCATTCACATCTGCAGGAATTATTCTAGGTTATTTTTTGTAGCTTTAAATAACCTCCTTCTGAGCTTCTCTCAATCCTTTTCTGTTCTGTTTTTAGCCAGGTCTTCTCTGCCTTGATGGCTGATGTCTAGCCACACCAAACAATTACTTCTTGTGCTGAGCTCTGCCCTTGTCTGGCACTCGTCCTCTCCCTGAGTCCCTTCTGTATTTATCTGTACCCTGTCACTGTTTTTTTTTTCATATCCCCTTAACTGAAGTCCAATTTGTACTTGTCTGCTGCTGTCCCTACTACTATGCACACATCCTAAAGGTAAAAAGCACGAGCAATTCTGAATAAAAGCAATAATACTGTTACTGCACATGTAATTTCTCAAGAATGTCTGACTCATTTATAGTGAAACATGCTAAAAAAATAATAGCTGAAAGTACAAATACTGGCTTGAACACTAAAGCCAAAAGAGGACCATTTAAGGTATGTGGCATAAATGTGAGACGATTCTTATAGTAACCAAGAACCAGTTCAGAAATATTTCTGAATGTTTAAGATTGGCTTTAAGACCAATGGTTTTTTCCAAAAGTTGTGATCTTGGTTTCAACACACCTTCATAGTTGACATTGAAATGCAGAATGATGGTGTTAGCCAACAAGAAAGCTGTCTGGATTTCCACTGCTCTATACAAATTTTACTAAGCCTTATGTGTCTCTGCAGGAGAAACCCACCAAATTAAGTGCTACCATCCCGGACCAAGACGCTTTGCAGTGCTGTAAATAACTTCAACTGGTACCAGGCTCTGGATCTCATTAGGAAGGCGTAAGAAATTTCAGCACTGCTACCAGCTTTGGTACATATAACACAAAGTAAAGCAGCATATTTAAAATACACAGCTAACAAATCATAACCAGGGGACTGCTGATTCTTAATTTGCAAGGATTTGCAAGAATGACAGCGAATCTTTTTCAGTTATATGGGCCTTTCTGAGAAAATCCACCTGGAGTTTTTTTTCAAAGCTTTTATGTGTTCATGTTCATATGCAAACACACACAAATAACCTCTATGTCTATTCAAGAAACATACTTGTTCCTAATGGTCAATTCTGAACATCAAAGGTTTGGTTTTATAATGTGCTCAGCATTCTCAGCCCCAAACACTAGAATAATACTTAGAACACTGTAAATAAGGCTCAGCACTTACTAGGACTGGACTAACTTCCTTCACTGTAGCCGTTACTGTTTTGATAAAATGACCTATGGAATGCAGTGCACCGAGATATTCCTCGTACACCAAACCCCAACGATCATAGAGAAAAACCCAGTTAGAGATTACATCACAGATACACATAACATATTAACATTTGAGAACATTATTCACGGATTATTTTTCTGGAATAATTAACCTCTCTCTCTCTCAGCAGTCGCCTTGTTGTTCTGTGCCTTTTTACAGTACTTTCTCACAGCATACATTGCACGACACATGGTATCTAGGAAGGAAACAAGAGAAGATGCCTACACACCTTGATATGATCCATCATAAGCTGTTTCTGTGCATATAGGAGAGAACAGTCTGGACACTTGAAAACAGACACCTTCTGGTTTTCAATGTGCTGATCAAAGTGGCGATAGAGCAAAGGTTGTAGAGTAAACACAGTGTCACACATAGAGCATTTATATATTATTCTAAAAACAGAAGTACAATAAACAATGTCAGTCATGTTGATGATCTATTTGCAAGAATCATGATGTTAACTTTTTTTCTCAGCAGAGATAAGATCTGACACGTTTAAGCAATCATTTCACGCTGCCTGGAAAAAGTTAAAATTAAACTAATTCAAAACATCCTCCAATTTCAAAATATGGGAGCAGTAGAAAAAAACAGAAGAATGGAAAAAAAATAATTTAAAAGTGCAAACAAAAAGCCAGAAAACAGCAGCATATGCCAGTCACATATATAATACACCAACATCTGCTCAGGATACTCTGAGAGTCACACCTCTTCAGTCTCCGACCGCACGTTATAACTAAAGGACAATATACCTGTTCTAGGCTGCAAAGGCAACATGTTTTAAGGAAATGATTGATTCCACCATTATAGGTAACGTATTTCAAGACAAATTTCTTTTTGGCAATGTACACGGTTTGAAGCTCCTGACTGCCAGGCATGGACCCTGTTAACGCTCTGAGGCTGAAACTTCACAGGATGGTGTTTCCCTTTTTGCAGTTATAAGCCTTTAAGAATCTGTCTATTGAATCAATGTAGGAAACAGATACACTAATTAACAAAGAACTAGGTGAGTACTGGACACTAAAAGCATAGTCGCTGAAAATTAATATGACAGCCAAAATCCTGTATCACAAAATCCTAATAACATTATTAAACAACCTGAAAATAGTATTTTTAGCACATCCTTGTCAAGTGTCCATCCACCAGACAAAAACCACAGGGAAACCAGAAACATAACCCTCCGATCTAAATGCTGCAACTGCCACCTGACAATAGTTTGAAGCAGGTTTCATTTTGCTGATGTTTTTGGAATGAAAAGTATAGTTTCAACTGGATTCTAGGCAGTTATTTACTTGATAGTTTGCTTGTTGCTTTTTGCTTATCTGTATGTTTGATTGTATTAAGAATGATTTCCCTGACAACTAAAGGTGAGTAACAAGATCAGCCTTTCAAACTGCAACCTGCAAATGTGCCTGGTTATAACCAGTAAATAATTCTATTCTTTCAGAAACTTCATACTTTTTGTTAACTTGGAAAGTGAATGAAAATGAAATGACACGTGAAAGAGAAGTAACATAGACATCTGCCACAATGATGGGAGGAGAGGGCAGTGTAACCCATCAGCCATCGGCAGCGGTGGGGCTGCAGAACACGTTCAGCTCAGGTAAAAGAAACCTTAACCAGGCGCTTCCCCTGCGAAAGCCCAACTCCTCATCCCACCCACTCCAGGCTCAGCTCTCTCCTCAAGAATGACTTTCCATTAAAAAAACCCAACACAACAAACCCTGCTTGCTGGAATGCTGAACTTTCTCATTATCCACATAGATGTTCCCAGTCCCGTCTATATCTCTCTGAGCAATTACCATCAACAGCATGTTGCTCACAAACTCTAAAGAGCATTCTGTGCTGTGCCTGGAGACGACAAGGACAGGGACACTGCTCTGATCTCCAAGCCATTCAGTCAGTCCAAATACTGGAAATAATGAAAAATAGTACACTTAATCATATTAACCACCATGGAAAGTACTATTTTTGTGGTGTATCAGGTGGCCCCAGCCTGTCAGATATGCTAAGATCAATCTGTTACTGACACTGCATCCTCTGATGACCATGTGCCACCGCACCCACTGCTTTATCCTCCGTGGTGGAACCAGACAGTGATCTCTGCTGGAATGACTTCAGGTCTGTAGTATATGAATTTATCATTGCAGAGTTACATAATTTAATCAAATTAACTACATTCTACTATATGCTTCAGATTCTTACTGTATCTAGAGTAAGGAGCAGCAGAATACAGAATGCTGAGGTGGCACCAAACCAGGCACGGAACGCGTGCTTCTTCACTTTTCAAAATTCCCATTAACAAATTCACTATTACCTTAGAATAAATACAGACATGAAAGATGTTTAGTGTTTTGAAAACTTCTGTACCAGACTATGGTATTTCTTCCCATGATTTTTTTCTCTAAAAAAATGGTACTTGTGGGATAATATAGTTTGTACCAATAGTACAGTACATATCCATAATTCGGCTTGATAAACAAGAACTTCTCTAGTATCCAAAAAGAGCTCAGCCATGATAAATCTCTTCGTGCCGCTCCTATGAAGTTACACTGTTTACAGAGAAAAGAAAATCACATATAAACTTTGGTTTCCCATAAAACCCAGGCAGCATCTCTGCGAAGCTCTCTCCCACAGCACACCTACGCTGAATGACAGGACAGCCATCCATTTCCCTGTGTTAAAATAATCTCATTTCATCCCACTGAGAATCACTGCACAGAAATTTCATTTTTCATGCCCGAAATAGTTTCCTGTAGCTGCTCTGAAACTCCCATTTGCAATGTAATTGCAAATCACAGGGTTCCAGTAACTGCCAGAGGCATTTACAAATAAAACCCAGTTCCCGTAAACAGCGAAGTGTGAACAGGGCAGAGTCCCTCGGGATGGGATCGTCCCCAGCCTGCCCTCAGGACAGCCCAAGGTGCTGGCGTGGTGGGACATGTATCAGGCTGCACCTCTGCAATGGCCAGAGGAACATCTGGATCCTGGCTCCACAACATCTGCCATCAGGGAGCTTCAAGACTCACAGTGAAGGGTCAGACACCTTTGACATGCTGAATGAGAACTCAACAGCTTCACTCTCCAAACACGGGCGGCTACTGTACCCTTCTATTAAAATTTTTACTTCAGAAGAACAAAAATTTATCTGAGCTTATGTGGTGGTATCTATAGTGTCATCCAACTATTACATCCCTTCTTTCCAATAATGAAACTGTTAAACTTCCAAATGAAGGCCAGTCACCCGCAATGGAGATGCCAGTCAATACAATACAGTAAACCAGCAGCAGCAGATTGGTCAAATGTGAATGTATTTCCACAAATACAAAAGCCCTTGTCAGCTCTGCCCTGTGCTGGTCAGGCCACAGCTGGACCGCTGCGTCCAGTTCTGGTCCCCACAACTCATGAAAGACATGGACAGACTGGAGAGGGTCCAAAGGAGGGCAACCAAGATGATCGAGGGCTGAAGAACCTGCTCCACGAGAAAAGACTGAAGGAGTTGGGTCTTTTCTCCCTGGAGAAGGTTCAGCAGAACCTCATCCCAGCGCTCCAGTACTTAAAGGGTGGCTACAAAGAGGACAGAGGGTCCCTCCTCACAAGGAGCCACATGGAGAAGACAAGGGGCAATGGGTACAAGTTGCACCAGGAGAGGTCTCATCTTGATACAAGAAATGTTTTACAGTGAGAACAATCACTCACTAGAACAGCCTCTCCAGGGATGTGGTGAGTTCCCATCGCTGGAGGCTCTCAAGATGGGGTTGGACAGCGTGTTAGACCATCTCATCTCGGCTCCCCTCCCACCAACTGCTGGACCCAATGATCTTCTGAGGTCCCTTCCAACCTGGGCTGCTCTGTGACTTTAACACAGAACATTACAGCAGATAAACCAGAACTTGAGTAATGTTACAAACATCTGATGTCAACTTGACCAAGATGTGTGACAAATATCCTCAGAAACTAACTAATCTAAACACAAACAGTTCCTTTTTAAATTGCTGCCGAGTAGCAGAAATACATGCACCTAATTCTGAGGAATCCACAGGTCCTGAGAGCTTGTAACAGACCTTATCAAAAGGTGAAAGAGCAGTCAATTGGTGGCAACACCATACCACCCACAGGTGCTTGGGGAACAGAAGCAAAGAACTGCAAACACTGCAAAGACTGGAAAAACCCTACTTGTCACCCTGCATGCATTTTCAACAGCATCCTGAATAAAAATGGCAAATTTAAAGAATAAGCCCTTCTTAAGAGCAGCACTCAGCTATGGATTCTACCATGTATTATAAAAGTGCTGCATAAAAATTTATTTTAGTCTTTTTATAATAAAAATGAACTCATAAAAGAATACAGTTATAAGCACATCTATATGGAAAGAAAACTAATGAAAAATATTTAATTCACGAAGTTGATCAGAAACAGTTCAGCAGATCCAAGCACAATTCAAGAAATCTGCGCTTTTCACAGATGAAGTGTCTGACACAAATAGTGATCTCCACCTTTCAGTTTCTCCAATGAAACTTACAGGAATCTGAAACAAGTTTTAGATTAAATGTTGGTATTTCAAAGCCCCTCATAGAAGATACAATCCTGAATTAAAACAAGGTCCCATTTCTCACTGGGTGGGAAAATCCCACCACTCCCAAACCTGCGGTTTCACGAAGAATAATGCAGCAGACAGAAAAAGGAGAAGGGATCCTGCAGGAAAAGCACTGCGGGCGCTTGTGACCCACAGACCAGGGTACTGCGAGTGGCTGTAGCCCACAAGAACGGCCCAGGGTCAGCCCAGGAGGACACTGCCATTTCCAACACCACCTCCCACCAGCAGCACCCTCACCCCTCACACATCAACTGGCAACACTGGGAAAACAGATATTCCCAGTTCACCCAGATGACTGTCTATGAGCATGTAACAGAAAAAAAACCCCAAACCAACTTTTTCTCACCTTTTCAACCAGACGTTATGAAAATCACTGCCTTATAAGCCCTGATAAGCCTTAGCATTATCTTAACTCTCAGTAAAAATGCAGATGAGCTGAGCAAATTAAAAGATAAGGACAAACACACTACCTGCCTGTCCGAATCACTTTGGCAATTACTGTACCACTCTCCCGTAGCGCGCAGTGTTTGAAGAACTGCTGTTGCTGCGTTCACGGAAATTTAACCTCTGCCAAATAAACTGCCAGCTAAAAACTCATGGCATTAAAAACATTACATGAACTCCCCAAGTTACCAACAGGGTGACAAACTGCTGGCTGTACAGCAGGTGACGTCCAAGGTGACAAGCAGAGGAGAGAAGGCAATCTCACACGTTACCCAGAGGCAGGAAGTGCAGCAGCAGAGGAGTTTTGCTTACTTTGGTTCGCCTATCTTGATGCCCGGGTGCTGGGTGTAGGCGTGGGAGTGGGTGCTGGGAGCGGACTTAAACGCCATGGGGCAGATGGGACACTTGTAAAAGACTTCACAGTGAGAGCCCTGGATGTGAGACTTGAGGGCGGCCACGTCCGAGTACACCACGTTGCAGTGCACGCAGCTGCAAAAGAGCGGAGAAGGGTCAGTCCAGCCCAGCTCCAAGCGGGACCCAAAGACACGGAACAAACATTCACTTTCAGGCACGTGGGAGAGATAAACATACATACATACATCTCGATTAAACTGCCTCATTCTGTCAATTTAAACAGCTTGGTAAGAATCAACATGAACACAGATTTGAGTAGCAGAAAGTAAGAAAAAAGAGATTTCCCAAATTTAATTTGAAAATCGAAGAGATATGAAGTCAGAAGATGTTTTTACGGCATTACAACAAAACAGAGGGTTATTCTATTGATTGTAAAAAGAATGCTTAAATCCTCTGCAAATTTGTAAAGATATTTTACAAAAGGCATTTTTATGACATGCAGTGGATTGTATAAGGTACGCCACAGCAATCTAGAAACTACCACCAAAATGGAAACCCAGTAAGGAAAACATTTCCACCGTTTCCCTCGCTTAGATTTAATGAAGACAAACTGGTAATGATTTGCTGTACACGGAATCAAATCAGTGCTTGGATTTAAAAACCAAAAAAAAAGAATGATTTAAACTCAGGACAAGTAAACCAAACCTCTACAATCAAATCAATCTATCAGATTGGAATTCTGAAAATAGTTTTCAAAAACATACTTCTGCTGTGTCGAAAATTTGTGACCTTTCCGCATCTATTCTAAAATGAAATGATTAAAAAAATCAAGTTAATATTAGTATATAAGAATTTCTATACACAATGGTCCCTCACAGCACCGTACATCTCCAGCACTAAATGCAACCAAACAAGCCCAAGAACACGCTGCAATAAGCACTTACAAAAATAACCTGTCAAATGAACAAATTTCTTACTGACCAGCGTTCTGCAGTAAGAGTTTTACAATTTAAATGCAGAAGGCCTCTATCCTTTCAAATTTTAATTTTGGCATCATGGTAGGATGGTTGCTGTCATATAAACATAAAATAATTTTTGACACTGTTTTAGGGCCATGATGCCAGCAATAAAGCAGGAAATACAGTTATACATTGCATTCAAGAATCCCCTTCTCCTTTTAAAATGTATCATCTTTGAATTTTATGAAATGTCACCCTTTCTTTTCCAAGCACTTAATTTACATTCTTAATGCTATTAATCAAGTTGTATCTATCTATTCGCCACTTACCAATGCATTTTCTAAAGGAAATGGTCCTTTTTGGGTCTGTTAAGATATTCCCTGCTTAGAGAGATGAGTGTTTCTGCGCAGCAGTACTGAGCACCACTCTCTCACAGACAGACCAACCCCTTGGTATCACCTCTCTCCTCCCTGTCCCATCCCACCTGCACTTTACTCTCTAGTGATGTGACAAAATAAACGATCCTCAGCATCCACCACTGTATTAACACAGCTTCTAAGGACCGAGCCTTCCTTCCATGGACTGCTGGAACTGTTGCTTGTTTGCAACTTGGAATTAAACTTATTGTTGAGATTTTCAGCAGATTCGGTTCAGACAACCAGCCTAACTCACTGAAACCAAACTGAACTCCCTCACAGAGGACCTTTGGAAGGGCAGGTCGTGCTGTTCCTCGAGCAAACACGCCGTGGTGACCAGGAGATGCTGAGAAGTCCAAGAAGGGAGACATTAACTCTCCCAGATATGGCTTTTCTTTGCAGAGATTTTTGTTTTAGCCTCACCACACACAGAAATTTTGACTTGGGGTGACGTGAGATTTTATGATACACCTTGAAAAGTTTAGTAACTTTAGTTTAGATTCACAGTGAAGGATCTGTGAGTCATCTGGTGTTACTGGTGCAGGCTGGGAGTCCCTGAAGACGGTTCTATCCGTGTCCAACCCCCAGAGCAACAGACTAGAGGCAAGGGAAGGAGTGTGGAGGTAGCAGACGTGAGAAATTTAGGAGCAGACAGACTGACTGCAGCTTGGCAGAACAGAGAACAACCCAAAGAGCTGCGAGCTGTGCCAGGCCGTGGGTTCAGTCTGGGAACAGCCAGCCGGATGCAGCAAAAGTGCTTTCTTCCCCTCCTGGCAGATGTCACAGCTGCTCTAGTAAATGTGGTGGCACCCGAAGAGGGAAGAAGCTGCCTGCTGATGAGATGTTACATGGCCCTTCTCCAGCCAGGCAGGGTGGAGCAGAGACGTCTCAGGGCTGCGGAGCAAAGCCAGGCTCTTCTCACCTCTCCCTGTGCCGCCTGCCACTCGCTGCCAGCAACACTAACTCAGAACAGGTTTTCAAGACTTTCAAAAATTAACACTCCCGTGAGATGCCTCTGATCCCCATTTTCTCATTGAGTTGCCATTAACAGGGAAACAGAATAATAAAAGGGAAACTGAAGAGTAAAAAGAAGAACCAAAAGATCGGGCTGATTGACTGAGGAAGGTAATTTTCAAGTACTGTAAAGCTGAGGAATCCTGCATTGGGAAGAACGCAGCCAGGCAGGTGCAGTATGCCCATCAGCATCTCCACAATGAATTCTGGCAGTAAATACCCAAAATGACCGTTCTACCAGAGAGAACAATCTCAAATTCAATGTTTTGAGAAAACTCTGAAGGTTTTTTCTAAGAACCTGAAATTAAGAAAATAATCTGAATTCTCTAGACCTTATAACCTGTGAAATCCTGAATCTGACATTTTATGGCTGGATGAGATTAGCCAATATTCTGATCTAATAACGTACAAAAGCAGATGCCCAAATCAGAGCAGAATCCCAATGTGGTATTTATTCCAAAATTTGTAGTACTAATAGCATTGTTGCTGTGACAACCTTGCACCCGTGAAGCTGTATTCTACAAACAACGCCTATGAAACTGCACAATTACATTTAAAAGCATAAATTATACATAAATTGAGAAGTGATGATCATACTGACCGAAAGCCAACTCTTCGGGTATAATGCAGGCAGTTCTTAGTGACATGGGTCTGGAAGTGGACAGATCTGCAGATGGCTCCGCACTCGGGACAGGTGTATGGAGATTTATGCTGATGAATTCTCTGGTGTGATGCAAAGCTGCACTGGTTAGGGAGCAGCATCTGGCAGATATTGCATGTCTTCTAAACGATAAACCAAAATAGATGAAACAAAAGGTTGGGTTCAGCTCTACATACCATGTCAAGCACTGCAATGTATCAAATAAAAGGTTACACATTTCAACCGATGGGAAGCTGCCTGTGGGCCCTGCTGGCACTCCTGGTGGGACAGAGCTGGCAGACACCGGCCACCCTGGCACAACAGAGCCCTTTCAGATGCCACTCACCACGGGGGGGACACGTCGGCTTGTATAAATTTCACTGAGGTGCCTCACAAGGTCACCTTCACAGGGCACAACCTGGGAATCAAACCGTACGGTTTTAACTCAGTGCATCACAGAAAGTAAAAAAGCCAAACCAAACCCACCAATTAGACTATCTGCACTTTCCTTGGGCCTTCCTCCTGATGAATTCTAAGGGTAATATCCATAATATCAATAAAATGGAATATTATCAGGCAAAAAGTTTGCTGATAATTTCAAAATATATTTCCTGAGCTAGCATACACCACCTGCACTACATCAACATACCGGGCATCTGAGCAAAACCTAGAGATATATACAATATTTACAAAACTTTTGTTTGCAGGGCAATCCTTCTACATGCAGGAGTAACTTACTAAGCTCATTCTTTTCTTGTAATGTGTTACACAAAAATAATTTAAAAAACCCCATTCTTTAACTACATGTTGACTATATGCCAGATCAGAAACACTGAAATTCTTTGGGCGCTCTGTGCTATTTTCGTATGTATGAATGAGGAAATCCTGAAATAAATAATGAATAATTCCTTTCCTTATGGTAAAACAGTTTCTTACTAAAAGATTGGTGCTTCACAAAAAGTCACATCCTTCCAATTCAGGCGACCCTCCTTTAAATCTCTTCTAAAACCAGTAAGGTCCAGATCACCTAACAGCAGAATCAAAGCTCCCATTAGAGAGGAAATAGCACAGTATGACAAATGACTTCCATAGGACTCTCACTTACTGGTACTGGAAACTATGCCAGTAAAAAACCCAACCTGTTCCCATTCAATGAGACAGGAGACAGACACTAACTCCGAAGACGGAAGGAAAAAGCCTTTAGAGTCACTGCAAAAATGACTTTTTTTCCCTAAGAGAACACTATTTAATATCAATGCCTAAAGTAACTTCATTGCCTCAGCATTTATACAGTATTATTGATATTCTAAGAACAAATACACTTTTGTATTACAAGCTGTACATTCCATTTTTATTGTTTTTCCAAAATAGCTTAATCTAAATGCTTTTTTTGAGGACACGTGCAAATACTTTGATTCTTGTTTTAAAAACAGTATTTGAAGTAGAAATGTTAACACTAAACAACTCGTGGTGACACAGAGAGAAGCAAGAAGTGTGTTTCCACACGGTTCACTCTTAACGTTTACTCTGTGAACAGGGTGGCCCGGGCTGTTTGAACACGGTCTCCATCCAAACAGAGCTCTTGGTCTCCTGAGGACAGCAAGGTGGTGAAATGCAAAACGTTCCAACAGAGGAAATCAAGCAAAGAAAATCTCCCAGGGCTCAAATTCTGGTTGAGTATCAGCACTTCTGCCAGCCCAAAGGATTATAAGCCAGCGTGGATGCTTCTGCTACCCTTGTGCAAGGCCTTGCCTGAGGCTAATGATCTGCGGGGATTTGGAACTATCACCCCGCTTGGAGCCTCTGTGACTCAGCACAGCTGAGGCTGCCTTCAGACACATTTAAATATTCGCTTTCAAATGCCAGTTATTTGTCCTCAACTGCCACCGCCAGCACCACTGCCTCACGCCCTCCAGCGCCCAACACAACTGGTTTGGGATCTCAACTTTGTCTTTACCTCAGGCTTGAAGGCAAAATCCTGACTAACCACAGCTCTGCTTAACACCTGATTGTCTCATTTACTTGGCTGTGGTGCTATTCCTAAAATCTTTGATTTGGTAAGAAAACAGAAAAACAGAACTTCTTCCAATAATAGAAACATATGGGGTGTTCACAGTCCAAGCCTTTAGCCTGAAGATCTACAAAAGGAAACTGTAGAATGATTTGGGTGGGAAGGGACCTTAAAGCTCCGCCAGTGCCACCCCCTGCCCTGGGCAGGGACACCTCCCACCAGACCAGGTTGCTCCAAGCCCCCTCCAACCTGGCCTTGAACCTCTCCAGGGATGGGGCAGCCACAGCTTCTCGGGGCAACCTGGGCCAGGCTCTCACCACCCTCACACCAAACAAGTTCTTCCCCACATCTCAGCTCCATCTCCCCTTTTACAGTGTCAAACCCTTCCCACTCATCCTATGGCTCCCCTCCCTGATCAAGAATCCCTCCCCATCTCTCCTGGAGCCCCTTGAGGGACTGGAAGGGGCTCTAAGGGACAGGGGGACAAGAAGCCACAGAAGAGCCATAAACATCCCAACCCCAATGGTTGGTGCAAATCCCTGGCTTTGCACCACAGAGCCTGGAAGATGTATCTGTAATGCTAGAGACTCCGACTGAAACAAAACACCAATAAAGCCATCTGTTAAGGCTACTGGTTTGCTATTTTGACAAGTACAATAAAATATTTAATTGTAACTGATTACAGTAGAACAAAAAGAATCTACCGTGAAATCCTGAAATTCAGCACGTTTGCTTACCATTTTGTTTTGGGCTTAAGGTGGCATTAACTTCCAGCTCTCTCATTCCAACCCATACCAAAATAAAACACAGTTTGTGAAAATCATCACCTGCCTGCATTTAAAGTCAAAGTTTCAAAAAAAAAAAAAAAGGTTAGAAGAAAAAATGGTGGAAAATAAAGATACACAAGAACTATGAGTATGAAGGGAAATGGGCTCCATAGTTTCCATGGGAACTATACACTTCTACCTGTAAGTAAGAGGAACATTAATATTAATTAGCTCAGGTTTGCTACTATTTTTTCCCCCAGTTAAGTAGATTAGGGTTCCATTCTACCAGGAAACCTGTCAGTGAGTGGTCCCATTCCCTTTAACAGGAATATTAATGGCAGTGAAGTATTACAGAATGGTAACAACGCTATAGGGAACGTCTTTTAATTGCTAGAGCTGTTTTGCTACTGTTCATTTTCTTTGTAAGAGGAGCTGTAGAAGAAGCAGCAGCTACTCACTGCCGAGACTCATTACAAACATAAACCAGTACACAATTCCCCTTTCAAGAGCAATGAGAAAGAGCAGTAAAAGCTGCAAGTAATAACTTTTTCCCGTTATTTTCCTCGCTGAGCAGCAGTACCTGCGCACCCATCCTCATCCTCCCACCGAACTGCAGGTGCAGCCTGAGGTTCTGTGAGGAGCTTGGCTGCTTTCCTGCAGCATCCAACAGGACACACACAGAGCAAAAGCACCAGAGAGGCAGCAGGAAAAGGCAAAGGGTGTTTCAACAAATCTCCTTAGATTTCCTGTCCATACAAATAAAGCCCCTCACAGGAAGCCAGTACCTCACTTTTTAATCTTTGTTCTCTATTTTTTTCATTTTATCCTTACTTCATTTTCCCAACCTATTCTCCCAAGTATTTGTCCGTCTCTCATCCACTGGCTTTGTCTTACTGCCTTCTTAATTGCTTCATTTTATAGTACTGGATCTTATCATGCTAAATGATACCTAATAGAGCTATTGTGGAAAAAAAAAAGATAAATCCAACACCAATAAGCACCAGCAAAGCAGTTAGCTGAAAACCAATTACTGAGGATTAAGTAATTGAAGAGCTGGTACAGAATATACTCGTGGTGTGCCATTAGATCCTGTTCAAAACTGCAGCAAGATGCAGGGACAGAACACATCCTGCCAGCTTCCTTCTGACAACAAGCTTCATCAAACTCACTCTAGGCAGGCACATGCCTTACAACCAGAAATACACACACACAGCATTTCCCTTGGAATCCAGGCCATTTCAGCCAACTCCAACAGCCATTGCTAAAGTGGAGCCGGGCAGAGCCTGTAATGCAGGCACGCACGATTATTTCCTCTTCACATCACTACGTAGTGGTGGGCGCAGCGTAACTGCCTTGCGGCCCCAGCACAGGGCTCAGGTTCAGTAAATCCATCCCGACAGGAGCCTGCCTGTGCTCCCAAGACTAGTGCATTTTTCCCTAACTGCAGGACTTCAGACCTTTATCCTGTGTATTTCTGTGCGATTCCCAGAATATTCCTGGGGCGTCCCTGTCTCCATCAGCCTGAGGCCGTTTGCAGGTTTCAGCTTCCCACACAGCAAGAAGCTGCAACACCAAACTCCACTGGCTGCTCCAAAACACCCCAGAATCCCTTTTAATTGGCACGCCCCAACAGAAATCCAGCTGCATCATTTAATTAACAATCTTAACTCCTATAGGATTATAAAATACATCGCACACTGATTAATATTAGCCTTTATTGAATGACGTGTTTCTTTCAGATTAGGCCACATACATTAGTGAGGAATTTTAAAATGCTCTGCAAGTTTTAACTCATTAGCAATTGTAGGAGGGAAGGAAAACCAACACAAGTACCCAAATGGCCACACAGAAAAATGCACGCCAGCAACCACCCCTGTCACTGCTGTTTCACAAGGACCTGAGGAAAGCCGCGTGCACGTCCTGCCCAAAGCATCAGTGTGCCATTTACCCACTGCCTGGGGTCCCTGAGGGAAGGGGAAAGCCTGCCTCACCTGTGCTGCCACCTGAAAAGAGTGAAAACTGAGGAGAGATCAGGAATGAATCATTTAAAACTATGATTCAGACTGCACAGACAGGCTGCTAATGAGGGTGCCAATTAAGTGGATTCCACAGGATACTCGAATTCCAAAGCACAGAAAAGAATCATTAAAAATTCTCAGTAAAGACCACTATTAATTTCAGTATTACAATGTTCAGCTGTAAGAAAAGCTAACGCTGAATTTCAGCAGAAATACACAGTGTAAATTTCAGACTTGAGGGCCTGGAAACATCCTAAGAAAACCTGTATTAAAAATATGTTCACGTTCACTATGTAAGTGCTTGCAAGATTTTTTTGCAGTTTTTGTTTAGACTTTTTAATCATGGAGGTTTGGAAAATTAACAGCTAAATGAAAGTAAAAACCATATCCAAAGTCCCCTAGGCTTATAGATCAAAGAGTGGAATGGAAACATGGGATACTCTACTTGTCCGCTCGCGTCTGCAGCCTGCTGGAAGTGAGTTGCGAGAGATGTCTCGTCCTGGAACACTTCGTTACACTCCAGACACTTCAGACTGTGCCTGCAGAGTCTGGAGGGATCCTCGTCCAGCGGCATGGCGGGGATGACGGGAGAGCTGGCGGGGGCCGAGATGACCGTCCCAGTTATGCCAGACTGGATCTTTGTCAGGGTGTGCGTGCCAGCTCCCGCGGGGCTCTGCAGCATCGACGTGGCGCTATTGCTGGAGGGGGACGCGATCATCTGATCGGCGGGGACGGGCTTCAGAATGAGGTGCGAGCACTGCATCACCACCCCCTTCTCCTTGTGCCCGCGAGCGTGGGAGAGGAGGCTGCACTTGTTGTAGAAAACTAAGTTCTTTGTGCAGTGGTTACACGTCACCTCGATTCGCACGCTCCTCCTGTCGTAGTGCTGGGTCAGGCTCTTCTCCAGGGCGAAGGAGTCGCCACACTCCAAACACTTGTACCCTCGGGTCGGTAGCGTTATTCCGGCACTGGCGGGGGGACTGAGGTTTGGGATGTAAACTGGCACGGGGTTGACGCTACTCAGCACCTTATTGAAGGCTTCCACCACCGAGCTCTGCAGGGATGACACCACCTGGACTCGAGACACTTTTTTCGAAGGCTGTGAGGCCGCTGCAGAAATTATTGCCTGCTTTATTTGCTGCTGGGGTTTGGTTAGCACTTGGCGGAGTTCAGAGGTGGTTTGAGCACCTTGAGGCAAAAGGTTCAGGTTGGCAAGATGCACCGTCTTTGGCACGAGTTTAGCACTGGCAAGGCTCGACGCTGGCACCACCACCGTCTGCTGCTGGATGGCGTTGGCGGCTTTTATAATGGCGCTGCTGGCGCTCTGCACCGAGGCGGCAGAGATCACCGTGGCTTTCACCGTGGTATTGTTAGCGAGCTTCAAATTAATCACTTGGGAACCCGCCGTCTTAACTGCTGAAACGGGGAGAAAGGCGGTAGCCACAGGTTTGATGGTGACCTGTTTTGGTGCGAGTTCCGCAGACGCAACCGCATTGGTGACGACTGTAGACTGGAGAGGAGCTCGAGGAGGAGAGGAGAGAACAGCAGCAGAAGCTGGAGAGGACAGGAGAGAGGTCATGGAAGTTACCATGGAAGCAGTCTGCTCTGGCTTTTTCCCGGAGTCCAAATCAACTTCTGGCAACACCCTGGTAACAGTTCTCTTGATCTCCCCAGAAGAAGTCTTGATGGTCTTTATGCGAACTTTAGGAATTGCTGGTGTTGACCCCGCAGGAGACGATGGAGACCCTTTGCTACTGTTTTCACTCGATACACTTCTGGGACTATCGGGTGGTTTGAGAGATGGCTTTTTAGCACCATCAATGAGACTCTGAGATTCAGGTGATTTCTCAATAGCCCGGGGACTTTCACTCATGTCTTTTGGCAATGGAGAAGACTCTCCTGAATGGGACTGTAAATCTTTACTGGTGTCTGTAGCTGCCTTCTTAGCGCTCAGCGCTGCGATTGCAGCAATGCACGAAGAAAGCTTTGCTGATGACTTTGCTTTGGACTGTGAAATGCTGGCAAGATTTGTTTCGCTTTTTTCAGTACTCAGTTTTCCATCAAGCGCCCTGTTTTCAAGAAGCTTCTCAGAATTGTCTTTTAGCAATTTGTCCTCTGTTTTTCGACCTTTAAAAGGCTCATAGACACCTAAATTCATGGAGTTTGTCTCTGTCTCTCGTTTAGCAACTTTATTTTTATCTATGCTACTTGAAACTGCGATTCCAGACTTAATCAAGTTCTCCCCTCCGAGTGCCTTCAGCTTGTCATATTCCTGCTGAGAGACAGAGCCTGCCAAGACATTTGCTCTGAAATTGGCACGCATTTCCTCTTTATCTGGAGGGTCATCCACCTCAATTTTTTCATCATCGTCAAATTCCTCCGCACTTGATATTGGGCTGAACTGGTTGAAAGCTGAATCCTTCAGTGTAGTCTCAGAAGCTGACCCATCATCTTTAAGTGACTTCCCTTCATCTTTACTGTAACTATCAAGAGCCGATGAGGTGAGAAAGCCATTATGCAAGCCATTGCCTGTGGAATGGTGGCCGTCTTTGTCCACTCCTTCAGAAGAATCAATTGTACGCACGTTTTTTACAATGACGCTCACACCAACGTCAGACGATGATGGGGCATGAGAATCTTCATCTGTGTGAGCATTTTGTTTTATGTGGCTTTCATGGTCATCATGTCCAGATTCAATAGCTGCTTTTGGATCAACCATGTCTGGTATGTCAAAGGCTGCAAGAAGGTCATCAAAATCTGGGGTCTTCATATCCCCCATGGTCATGTATTTGATTGTAAGAAAATCTGTGAAATAAGCAGAAAGTCACCATCTCAGTATTTTAAGCTCTGGTAGCACAACCTTACACAAAATACGCACATATTCATATGCCATGTAAAAAGGTGTTATTTCTCTTCTGCAGCAGTATTTTCAGAAATTATACATTACATAACAGTGTTCCACTGCAAGTGTACAGTCAAATTATTAGACCAAGAGCTACAGTTATCTGTCAGCTCCACAGCCTGTAACTCAGTCATTTCATTCCAGGCACAAATTTCTCCTCAGTGCCTTTCCTCCTGTCTCCACTCCAACACTCCCTCCTGCCCCCTCCCACACACACTATCAGTACAGCAAGACACTGAGACTTGCATGAAAATAACCTGAGGCACTTGCAATTCCTCCCAAGTCTAGATTTTCCTTGACATTTGCGTTACCGAGCTGATGAGCCTTCTTGAAGATGGCAACAAACATGTTTCTACCAACAGTTGCACTGTTTTCTGTAAGTTAAATTGCCTTATAAGAATTATAGAGTAAGTGTCTCCCTGTGTTCACAACGCTTTTGTTCAGCAGCTCTAATGAAGGTTCTGCTGGCTCTACGCTATTCCCCACAGGTGTCTCACCTGCTTTGAAGACCTCCCACAACTGAGACTCTACAGCCTCCAACGCAATTTATTCCAGCCCTCCACCATTCTGTTATACACTTCCTGCTGCATAATCCCAACCTTTCTTGATGCCATCTGAATGAGCTACACGTGGCTCTATTCACCCAGCCTCTCTGCATCAGCACTTCACTCCTAGGCCATTATCTCTCTTCAATCTTCTCCCTCTTAGGCAAATCATTACCAGAGCTTTAGGATTTCCTTTCCCCTCATTGAGAACATTTTCCAGATCCTGTTCTTTCTGTTTGCCGCTGGCCTCTACTGTTGGGGATTTTTTCTTCCAATTCCCAAGCCAAAGAGGTAACTCAGAACTGAAACTTTACAAATGCTGTGTAAAAAGAAAAAACTAACTTTGAGTATACTTTTAGATTTAAATCCCACTATGACATTTGCCTTTCCCATAGACGTTCCAATAACATGCAGAGGGGATCGCTTGTGGGGATCTACAAAAATCAGTTACAGAAAGCACCGACAGACATTTTTTTCATTCTCTTTCATAACTATGCAGAGATATGATTTGTATGGTTGTGACAGACCTGCTTTTAATGTACTTTCAGTATTCAAAGAGACTCAACCAAATAAGCGTTATTGTTAGCAAGTGCGATTTAAGAAGCATCCTTTCTGTCCTCCTGCCTTTGTATCGACCCTAAAGGACTGGAAAACATTGTCACTACATAGCTCAATGTTCTGTCTCAGGTGTCTTTTTACAAGTATTATATACACTCAAAAAGAACTATAAAGTCTTCCTAGTCTAAAACTTCCTCTAATTGCATATACTGGAGCTTAATTAACATTTAGCAATAGCAATGAATTAAGTAAAGGCCCACTTACACAGTATTTCATCCAAGTACGTTTAAGAGCAAAACTGCATAGCAGAGGAGATACATTTGGGCTTTCCTGAGAGACTTGGTTTGGCTAATTGGAGAACGGGAAAGCTTCTCAAACGCATTCAGAGGTCTGCAGAGCTACGACCATAGATTTATCCATAGAGAGCACAGTGCATAAAGCTGCAACCATCTTCCAAATGTGTGCAGAAGGAAGGACTCCCGTGCTCCACCACAGCAGGAGAATGGAATGGTTCCTTCTACATGGGAGACCTGGAGCTGCTGCCGCCCTTATGAACAACCTCTCCCATTCTTCAAACTTTTAAAGCCATCTCAGTCAAACAAAAAGGGACGAGATCTTGCCAGGCTCAATGAAGAAGTAAGCAAAGTTGTAACCTCGACATTTTATTCACCTCTTCCTCACTACTCCAGTACACTTCTTTAAGATCCATTATATAAACTATGCTCCCACCACAAATGCCAGGACTCTGAAGCCACATTCCTCCCTTTTTATTCCTCCGTAACCTTTCAGTAACTCCTTCCCTTAAAAATAAAACTTTGCCTTTTATCCAAGATCAAAATCAACCGACACCTTGGCTGCCAGACAAGCTGTTAGTCTGCTCCTTCTCTGGCCAACCTGATGCCTGCAAATACCCCTGAACAGGAAATGAAGCAAGTTCCTGGTTCCCTAGGAAATCATGATTTTCCAGGAACTGGAATTTCTTTGAGAACTGCTTTCAAAGTGCTGAGAGCAAAACTTGGTACCTCCAAAGACCCATTGAGATGTACAAATCTGACTTCCAATGGCTGCCATTAAGGTGATCTTCAGAACTGCACTGAGGAACAGCCCACAAGGTGTACAATCACTCCTCAGACCACAGGATGCATCTGAGGATACATTCCTCAGCCTGAACAAACAAAAATGTATTTAAAGAAACAACCTGAAAGTCACCCACCTCCTCAAACACCTCTGTCCAAAAAAAGAATTTTTTTTCATTTTTAATTTCTAAACAATAGAAATAAAATTCACCTCAAAAGAGGGGAACGCTGACTTGAAGCATTCTGAAGAACAATGGATAGATGATACAATAAATTAAATACCCCTAACTTTGCGGGTACTGGTATAAAGAGCCAGTTCTTAAGATTTACTGCCTCTCTCCAAAGTACTATGTCATTTTCAGGTGAGTTTCCTTTTGTAACATTCCTTTTCCTTCCCATGGACTGGTTCATTTCCTGCCTCTCCACCTGGCTGGCTGCAGCTGTTTAGCATGAGAATGCCAGGAAAAGCCTATCCCCTTTGTTTTAAGATTTGCAACCTTTAGGGCGCTTGAATTACTTGAGAAAAATTATGGAAGAAAATCAGTTTCTTTAAAATTCAACCATTACTTTGCTTACTGATTTTTCAATGATAAAAGTAAGTAAAAAGGAAAATAAATCTGAGTACGTCCAGCTAGAGAGCCAGGGAGCAGTGAGGTGGTCCTGCTTCTTTGATGGTGGGTGACAGGGCCTCTGGGAAGATACCACAGAGTCTTAAACGTAAGAGGGGAGACTCTGAATATACTTACTGCATGGCTTCCACTGATCTCTTCAGTGACAACATCCATCAGTATCTCACTGAAACTTAAGGTGCAGATTATAAACCAGGACTGGTCTGTCTGTGCTCACGCTCTGTTCAAAGCATGTGTGCATCACTTCCTACGTCCCTCTTTCTTTGGAAATGCATCTCCTGAAATAAGAGCTTCCTCTGAACAGCAGGAAGGAAACAGCACAGGTTCTAGCCAAAGGAAGACACCCCTTTGCCTGGTCCAGGGTCTTCCTTCTCCCAGTCAGCCTTTCACTCCAGCTCATCTGCTGACACATTCCAGCGAGGCACTCGCTGGGCTAATGATGTCAAAACACGAGCCAGCCCACGAGAACTCCCTACCGGCAGGGAAAGACACAAGCAGGCCAAGAATCTGATGCTCCACCCATGAGAAATAGTTCAATTCTTGTAAACCTTTGGGGGCCTCCATATCCCGGCTGCTGAGATGGAAAGTCTATAGACGTATTCAAAGATTTTAAACGGCTGATCTGCAGAAAAAGAGGAAAACATCTGCAAGAGGTAGTGCGTGTGGGAGCTCTTGCCCTGTTGGCGGGGGCTGCAGAGACCATTCTGAAACACTGCTGTCTTACAGCAACTGTGGCTGCGAGGAAGGCTCGTGTGCAACGACGTAAGTATCGGCAAAAGAAATACCAAGGTTCAGAAGTAAATAAGCTGCTTCCGAAGGAATAATAAAGGCAGTTTTGTTTTACCACATGGAATTTTTGTCACTCCTCCTCAAGCACTGTATTTATCTATACCCATTCCAGGTGGAGAACTCCAGCCCTGTGAGGAAAAACAAACCAACCTCCCCTTCCAAGTATTCTGGCAAGTGGGGGAGCAGATAAACACACAGAAGAAAACATTTTTTCTCACTTTCTAAATATGCTTTATCTTGTAGCTTGGGCCTTGGGACAGCTGCAGACGGGGCACAGTATTCTCCAGAAGAAAGACCAAGCTGCCTATAAAATGGTGCTGAAATTAAAGGGTACTTTTTGGTGTAAAGCTAAGAAATTGTAAACACTCAAACCAGACTCGTTTTGGGGAGTTCAAACAGCTCAATGGAGACAAGAAAACAGAATTATCTGGCAGCTCCCAGACAGGTCTTATCTCCAAACCACTCAAAACTTATTCTGGTCTGTCAGGTACAAGAACAACGCAAGCTTTCCAGACCTGGCAATGACAAAAATTCCTCCTCCCTTTCCAATACTTTTCCAATTAAGATTCTCTACACACGAAGGCTTCCAACTATCATTTCTGGATCACAAGAATGGTCTTACATGGTCAATTTTTATTCTTCTTCTATTTCACCAGTAACCTTTAAAGAACTGACCAACTTTTCCACCTTGTTATTCACCCTCTGGCTCATCCCAATCTTCGCTGCTCAACCACAAGTCCAGTGACTCTATGCAACTGCTTTAACCATCTGTACGAGTCCTGTCTTTTCTACCGTATTAAATTTTAATTCCTGCCCTTTGCCTTCCAATCCCACACTGTCTCTACTTACAACACGTAACTCCACACTTTTGTTCAAACAACTACTCAGCTCAAGCTTCCCTCAGCAGCAAGTCTGTTTATTATTTAAGGAAATGGGAAAAAATCCACCTTTAGTGTTCATCTACCTACGGAATTCATGCTCTTGTGACTGTTCCTTTACCTTCCCTAAACTCTCCCTACAGTTTTTACCTCCACGTGTACTAGGTACAGCTGCGGACTGTTCACTCTTTTAAGGCAGAGACCTCTTCTCTTCGAAGAAAATCAGTGTTCTTTCAAATACTGTGAGAACAAGAGCATTGAGACACCACTTAGTGTCCAGCACAAGGTAATGTCTTGATTCTGGAAGAACAGTTCTGGGATAACCATACATAACAATTACTCTGTTATAGTTAGACAGTACAAATTCCCAGCTAGACACACAATTCCAGTACAAAATTCTGATAATCTGCTGTAAGTACTCCATTTCC